TCAGATTGCGAGTCGAGCGACCTATCCACCTGGCCATGCCGGGCCAATGAAAATAACAACAGCAAGATTTTCGAGAGCTCGAATTCCTAATTTAGCTTCATTCGTTTAAAACACATTTACGTAAAAAAAAAAAAAACCTAATAGGTACGTTTTCGATAAAAGGGTTTGTACATTTATCGCAATAAATAAATTGTTAACTTTCAAATAAAAACCGTTTCAGGTCTTTCTACTTAATAAAAACTACTTTTTTTACATATTTCAAATAAGTAAGTTTTTTCTTGTGTTCCGAGAATCGAATTGATTAAAATTTCTATCAGAATCTGATTTATTATACTTGTATAAATCCTCGACTACAATGACTTTGACTTGATAATTCTCGTGCTATAACTTCACCCCTTACAGACGGTCCCTTCTTGTCTATCTACCTTCTGAGCTTTAACATTTATTTTCCAATCAAATCTATTAAGTTTTCTCATTAGTAGCTTGAAATCTAATCCGCTGTTTTTTTTTCTTTATTATTTCATTGTTTATCTATCATTATGCGTCAGCTTTAGCCTCGAGTAATGATGGACGATAGATACCCAGGAAACATGAGGGAGTGACACGAAAGCTATTGATTATTTTTACAGTTGTGTGGTTGAATTTTGTCTCATCTGTGTCATTCTGATACGAATAATTAATCAGTTATCGTTCTCGTCTAATGAAGTAGGCTGAGTATCGTATTAAGTGTTAGTGAAAAGAATGCTTTGAATGTAAATATATTTTATTCTAGATAACAATCAACTTCCTTGTGCAGCTGTGTTAGCCTAATACATTATAAAACCCGTAGAGAAACGTGAGTTACCACACAACAAACTCTGTCGTGTTAAACCCGTAGAGTAATATTAACGCTAAACAATGAACCCACAGAGTAATAATAACACTAAACACAATGAACCCCTAGAGTAATATTAACACTAAACAATGAGTCAGTAGAGTAATATTAACGCTAAACAATGAACCCATAGAGTAATAATAACACTAAACACAATAAACTCTTAGAGTAATATTAACACTAAACAATGAATCAATAGAGTAATATTAACGCTAAACAATGAACCCATAGAGTAATAATAACATTAAACACAATGAACCCCTAGAGTAATATTAACACTAAACAATGAATCAATAGAGTAATATTAACGCTAAACAATGAACCCATCGTTAATATTACTCTAGGGGTTCATTGTGTTTAGTGTTATTATTACTCTTACTAAACACAATGAACCCATAGAGTAATATTAACGCTAAACAATGAATCAATAGAGTAATATTAACGCTAAACAATGAACCCTTGAGTAATAATAACACTAAACACAATGAACCCCTAGAG